TTTTTTTTTTGCTTTATTTTAACATGTGCTGACTGTGGAGTTTGCATGTTGTCCCTGTGCGTGGGTTAAAGTCACCTTATGCAGATGCAAGAGAGATGTTTGTATTTCCTGTCTCAGAGCAATGCTGAGAAACACGCATTCATTACTTCTAGGCTGAACTATTCATTTTATCAGGTCAATCCAAAACACCACAGTGAGTGTACTGACATAGAAAAGAAAGAGACATATAGACAGACCTCATGGTACCTTATATCCCAACAGAGCTCTTCGCTCTCAGACTGCTGGTTTACTTGTGGTTTGTATGACATTTAAAAGTAAAATGAGAACCTGCTCCCTCTACTTTCAAGAGACTCTAAACCTTCGTGTTTGATAAAGCAACCTCGAAACCCAGAAACCTAAAAGATTCAGAGAGTTTCTCTCATCCCAACCAGTCGCAGCAGATGGCCGCCCCTCCCTGAGCCTGGTTCTGCCGGAGGTTTCTTCCTGTTAAAAGGGAGTTTTTCCTTCCAACTGTCACCAAAGTGCTTGCTCATAGGGGGTCATATTATTGTTGAATTTTTCTCTGTATGTATTATTGTAAGGTCTGCCTTACAATATAAAGCGCCTTGAGGCGACTGTTGTTGTGATTTGGTGCTGTATAAATAAAATTGAATTGATTTAAAGAGGAGTGGGCAAAAATCCTCCTGAGCAACAACAAGAAACATCTCACTGCTGTTCTCACCAACAAGGGTTTCTTAACTAAGTACTCACTCATGCTTTGCTTGGGGACCAAATACTTATTTCATTCTATGACACACAGATGAGTTTGTTTTTTGAAATGTGGTTTTTCTGGATGCATACATAAGACTGGATGCACAGTGACATCTGGATTTTGGGTTGAGTTGGGAGATTTAAAAGAAATCAAACCAGAAGATATTTTAATCCAGATGAGCTCAGATATTTTGGGCATTCTAGTTTTGACTCTGTGTAAGTACACTGGCTTTAAAGTTAAATGTCAGCTGAGGAGAGTTTGTTTGGCAGGAATGAGGCTGCGTGACCCACATTGTACTTGTGACCCTCTGATGTGTGCGTCCTTCTTCATTTCAGTTCTCAGACAGAAGTGAAAATTCAAAAGAAATTGGTCTGGTTACTTTCACTGAAAACACAGAAAGAGATTCAGCGCTAACGGCCTTCGTCCACGGACTCCACAGTCAGCCATGATTACACGCTTTTACATGTGTTTATCAGTGACCTGCTGACTGCTGCAGTGAGTGTAAATATAACAGATACTGAAAAACTGCTTTTAGCCAGAGGCATTCTGGGATAGGACTACATTAAGGGAGCTTCATGGTGCAGAAACCAGCTGCACACAGAGATTAAAATATCATACAGCAACCTGTGTGCGCGCATGTGTGTGCATGTGTGTGCATGTGAGGAGGGTTTCATACATGTCTCCGTTTATCAGTTGCATCACATCAAACCTTGTCCCCTGTAGTCAGGTGTTGATGCTGTCACACGGTTGTTTTTCTGTGCTGGCAGAGTGCGGTTGTAAGATTAAACTTTCTGCAGTCATTCATGTAATTAGAATATGAATATGAATTTCCTGTGTTTCCTGTCGCACTGTTTTCTCTTCAGGTGCACTGTAGTGTCAGTATTTGTGATCAGTAAACTATCCCTGGATCAAGTTAAGATTATATTCCAGACATTCATTCAAAGAGGTTTAAGGAACACCAACAGAAACACGGGTAGATGTTTATCAGAAGGCAGTTATTTGGTGTTTCCACCTGCACAAATATGTTTTCCTTCCATTTAAACCAGCGGTAGCAAGTACTTCTGAGAGCAGCCCGTGCATGAAAGCTACAAGTGCATCGGGCACATGAGAAAACCTAAACAGCACATGCAGATCAACTGCAACTGACAGAAGGGAGCAAAAATGAGTGCATGCTGAAGGGGCTCCGCTGTAACTGCTCTTCCCCATTTTGACAAGCTGAGGTTAGCTCAGAGAGCAGCTTTGCCCTCAGAACAGACATAACTTTTCCGGTGCCAACCTCAAAGTCTAACTAGAAACGATTAGAACGAAAGATAAGCAGGGCAGCCTCAAGAAGACACAAGTTTGCTTTAAAAATGTGCGACTACACGTGTGTGACTGTGAGAGGCAGCGAAACGCAGCAGGGGGAGTAACTGAAGCGGATGGGAAGTGTTTTATACTGACTGAGCTGGCCCCCTGAGCTTCACATGCACTCAGTTCAGTGACAGAAGCAAAGTGTGAGAGAAGTGGAAGAGCGGGTTAGGTGTTAGATTCCCGATGGCGTCTGCTTCAAGCAGCAGAGTGGACGAGCAGCCGCCGGCACTGCCTGTCAAACAGCACAGGTAAGCATTATCTTTCTGTCAGAAGGAGAAACCTTTATGGCTCCTTTTGACATGTTTTTCATTGAATTTTAATAATATTTTCACTCCACACCCAAACCTGACAATGGAGCAGCAGGCAGCTTTTGCTGTGCATATATTGCAATTGCATGTATTTCCTCAGGCATTCCAGCGTGGAGTCTGACTGCAGCCCTG